GCCCCATCCCCCGGGGAGGCCGAGAGCTCCGCACACCCCCAAATCGTCACCTGCCACCAGCGGTTTAGGCTTTCCTGCAACCCGCCCCCGAAGAAGCGAGCGCAGCCGTCCCGCAGCCCCTGAGCCCAGCCAGCCCCTCTGGCGCATCCCTGGGGATGGGGAGCAGGGGAGGGGAAGCGGGGGTCCCCCAGCCTTGCCCTCCCGGAGGGGTGGGAGAGGGCACGCGAGCCTGTCCCCCGAGAAGGACGCTCAGCGCGGGGTGATATCCAAGCACTTAGCAAGCAGCCGGCTCGTACCCGGCTCTCGGGTCCCACCTCAGCGGCCAGGCAAGCTGGGGACACCAGGTCGGGTGGGGAAGGGGGCTAGGCAGGATCGGGGGGGCACAGGGTGCTGCACCCAGCCTTGGTGCACCCACAGGGCAGGGGACAGAGCAGTGGGGATGCACCGCTGCCGGCCTGCCTGCAAAGGTGCCTGCTCACCTGCACTCTGAGCGGGGATGCCGGCCAGCAAGCAGGACCCCACGGCACCCACACCACTCCCATGCCATCCTCCCCCAGGGTCAGGGGACATGGTCGTACGAGACATCAGAGAATCCACACTGGGTTCCCTGGGGAGCCTCGGCACACGGGCAGGTGTGTCCCCCTCCCAAAAGCCTTGGATTTCTCCCCAGCGCTGCGCGGAGGGGACGGAGCGGAGGAGCTGGTGGCTTCTGCAGCGCTCCATCACCAGCAGCCTCATCCCTTCTCCCAGCCCGGCACGGGGGCACCCGCGTTAGCCCCAGCCCTCCCGCAGCCCCCCAAGGGCTGCAGCAGCTTCAACTGATAAAGGGAGCAGGAGGACCGGGGGGTTCCAGCTCACCCCCAACCTAGAATCATAGACTCACTTAGGTTGGAAAAGACCTTTAAGATCATAAAGTCCAACCGTTAACCTGGCACTGCCATGTCCACCACTAAACCGTGTCCCTTCTGTAATGGAGCAGCTCCACAACCCTTGCAACTGGGACAAAACCACCTCAATTCGGCTCAGCGAGCCCTTGGTTGGCCCGTAGCCCGTTTCCCAAGGGAAGACCGTAGGGGCGGGCGGCACAGCGTGGCTCTGGGACAGGTCCAGCACCACTGGGTGCCGCAGAGCAGTGTGGAGTCAGGTAAGAGTAAGGAGGAGATGCAGCCCGCGGGCAGCTCTGGCAGGTAAGCAGAGTCTGCCTGCCCGGACCCGCACGCTGCCTGCTCGGACTCGAGGGTCTGGGGGAGCGGCACGGCAGCAGGAGCTGATGGGAGGGAGGGAGCAGGATGAACCCTAGCACCGCTGGCCGCTCCTGCTCCCCCTGGCACCCTGAGGCCGAGCTGGAGTGGAAGATCCCGAGGAGCAGCCCCACAGCCTGCCCAGGCAGGATCCTGCCTGCAGTGCCGTCCTCCAGCCCAAGGAACCCAGGGGAGCGGGGAGTGCTCCAGCAGCCCCCACCGCGCCAAGGAAATCCTCAGTGACTGGGCTCCCCAGGACCCACAGACAGTGCCATGGACAGACAGACAGACAGACCCCCCCTGGTCCTGGCCGTGCTTACCAAGGAGATTTATTGACTCGCACGGGGAGAATGGGGGGCACTGGCCCCAGCTCCCCCAGCAAGCAGGCAGGGAGGCAGGATGGGGCACGGGCAGGCAGAGCAGAGCACCGGCCAGCCCCTTACCCCACAGCCAACGCAGCCGGAGGTGGCACGGGGACAGGGAGAGGCATTGCTGACACCAGGAAAGGCAGGAGGCACCCAGGCAAGGATGGCTGGGACTCAGATTTTGAGGGCACAGCCACTTGGCACAGGCGTCACCATCGGGCCAGCCCTGAGCACAGCCGACATGGCATGATGCCAGCTGGGTCCCCGGCACACTGGCAGGCATCTGCTGTGCCACCCCCTGCCCCCCTTTTAAAGCCTTGAGTCCCGCTGCTCGGCACCCCCCATCCTGCCCCTCGCCGGGGCACTCAGCCCTCGGCGGGCAGTGGGGGCACTGATGCCAGAGCAGGCAGGAGGTGGGCGTAGATGTCGATGCCCCGCAGGAAGACTTGCTCATTGAGGAACTCGTTGTGGTCGTGGAGCAGCACCGGGGTGCAGTTCATGGGCGAGAAGCCAATAGCGGGGTGTCCTGCCTGGGGATGGGGGGGTACGGGGTGAGGCTGAAGCTGGGACAGGCACTGCGTGTCCCCCTCCACCTGGGCATGGCTCCTGCTTGGGGCTGCAGGTCTCACCCCAGGAGGGGGACCCATGGGCGGGCTGGCGTTGCACTCACCGCTCGGATGTAGCGGCTGTCAGTGGCAGCCGGGAAGATCTCAAGCTTGAGCTGCAGCTTCCTGACAAGGAAGACCCTGTGTCAGCATGGGCATGGGGGTATCCAGGTCCCCTGTTCCCCTGCCACCCCATGGGCAAAGAGACCACGCCAGGAAGGTCTCTGAGCCCTGCAGGACACTCAATCCCATCCCTTTTGGTGGGGCATGGGGAGATGCCCTGGCATGGCATGGAGCATCTCCTCCCAGCCCCTGCCATGACCCCAGAGACCCCTGGGCACCCCGCGGCTCCCACCAGAGGATGTCCCCGTCAGGGTCCTGCCCTTCCTGGGGACACTACTCACATGTCCCTGCAGACCTCACTGAAGGCCTTCCACCACGGGTCTGACTCCTCGGTGGAGGTGACGTGTTGGTCCATGCATTTCTGACAGAGGGAGAGGCCAAGTGAGGGGCAGGGGGGTGGGCACACAGGAGAGGAGGGACGAGCACGATGCACCTGGGTGACTGAGACCCCTCACCTGGTGAAACTCATAGGTGACGCCGTCCCCAGCACCCCGGCACCACGCATCCACCTGCTCTTCAAAGGCCTGAGGCAGAGACCAGAGGAGGGGTGTGAGCGGGGTGCCCCCAACTGGCTCCCCTCCTGGGTGGGGCCGGCGTGACGCGCACCTTCAGGTCCACGGTGGGTGGGATGCGGATGTCGAAGCTGGCTGCCATCTCAGAGGGCACCACGTTGAAGGAGACGCCCCCCTCTAGCATGGTCAGGTTGAGCGAGGTGACGTCCCCTAGGGTCAGGCTTGAGTCGGACTTGAGCCTCGGGGGACGCAAGGGAGAGTCACCCTCCACCACCTGGGGAGGAGAGGAAGCACTTCCCCACCCCGCTGCCACCCCCAAATGGGGAAACTGAGGCATGAGGTGGTGGCGACGGATCAGAGCCTCACTTGGGATCCCAAGGACCCCCTTCACGGACCGAACTGAAGCCACCGCCATCCCGCTGCCTGTCTCCTACCTCTGCTTCTCACTCTCCCTGAAGGCCAGGAAGGAGTTGATGACTTTGTGCTGGGGAGGGAAGGGCAGGGGAGTGAGGACCAGCCCTGCAGGCAGGCGCCTGGCAGTCCCAGGGCAGGCAGGGGTTGGGCAGGGTGTACTCCCTCACTTACCATCTTCTCAGCCGCCGTGTTGCTGATGAAGCGGGACCCATGCCCGGGGCTGCCCACGCACTTCACCTTTATCCCTGTGGCAGCGGGGGGAGAGGGAGGTGTTGAGCAGAAAGCCCAGGGCATCACTGGTGCCCCAGCATCCAGCAGAGCCAGGGATGGGGCGGTGGGCACACAGTTACTCACACCACGGGCTCTTCTCGCCATAAAAGACGCTGAAGGTGTCGGACGGGCTGGCCAGACCTGTGGTGGGCACAGATGGGGGGTCAGTGGGGCACAAGGGTGCCATGATTTGCCCTCCTCTGTTCTGCCCTGGTGCCATTTCCCCTCCAGGCTGGCACCGTGTGGATCACTGGCCGGGGGAAGGAGCCCCCGAGGGGGTCCCCTGAAGCTGTGCCGGATGCCAGTGCCTGGGGGGTGGTGCCAACAGGCAGAGGCGTGCGTGCCAAGAGGAGACACGTCCCCGTGCCAGCCCTGCCACCACTCACCCTCATCCAGGGCAAAGCCCACGTTGAGTGCTCTGAACTCGGGGCGCTGCACGAACATCTCCATGCCCTTGTGTCCGCCCACCTCCTCGTCTGCAGGGGAGAGCCTGGCATGGAGGAAGGAACCGGGACATCCCCCAGCCCACCTCCTCCTTCCACACCAGCCTGGGTGCCACCAGTGCACCCGATGTCCTCAGACCTGGAAATCCTTCCAGCCCCAATCTAGGAGAGCTCAAAGTCGGGAAAAGCTGGCAGAGGGGTGCCTTGCTGCCACGCCATGGGGAACTCCAGAGCATCGCCCAGCTGCCAGCCCCTCCTGTCCCCCCGAGAGGGGACACCCTGGGGACTCACCAGGCACAAAGGTGAGGTGGATGGTGCGGGCAAAACACTTTCCCTCCGCCTTCAGCCTCCGGATGGCCTCAAGGTACCTGCGGGGAGAAGGCGGTGCCTGGGCATCATGGAGGAGAGGGGCTGGTGTGCTCTGAGCCACCCCAGGGGGGGTCAAGTGGTGGCATCCACAACCACAGGGACCCTGGGGATGGTGGCATCCCATCCTGCAACACTCAGAGGCACCCTCATGCCGTGCCTGCCTCCCCCAGCAGGCACAGAGCCCTTCACTCACTGGATGGAGACACACTTCATGTCCTGGGCACCCCGGGCATAGATGTTGCCTTGCGAGTCCTTAACAGCCTCGAAGGGTGGGTAGGTCCAGTGCTCCTGTGGGGAACAGCAGCTGTGACGGCAGAGGGGCACGGCAGGCACCAGCTCCCATTCACTTGCCAGCCCCAGTCCTCCCCGCCGTGCCCATCCCATCCCTCGCCCTGTCCCGGCACCTCGAAGACAGGCACGACATCCGTGTGGGAGTTGAGGAGGATGGAGCGCAGGCGGGGGTTCGTGCCCTGCCAGGTCAGGATCAGCACCACGCGGCCCTGGCACACCTGTGGGGCAAGGGCAGGATGTCACCGGGGTTCAGGCTGGGGACAGAGGGGTTGGGACTGGCAGGCTGGAGCCAAAAAGCATCAGTCTGGGAAAAGTTTCTTGATGCCACCTGACAGGTCACCCCTTTCTCCACTGGGTGAGGGCAGGCAGCAGGAGCAGGCATGCCTGCACCCCCTGGACCCAGATGGAGCCCAGCCATGGGTGCCAACTCCTGGCTGCGATTCAGGTGGAGGAGGGGAGGTGAACCCAGCGTCTTCCCCCCCAGCAGGAGGGACGTCCCCAGGCAACGTGACCCTGCCAGGTCCCTGGCTAATCATAGCACAGGCGGCCTCAAAGGTCAGTGGGGACCAGCCAGAATACGGGCTTAAGGAAGGGCTCAGGTCAGCAGAGGATTACAGGCAGAGGGGATTCACTCCTGCCCAGCCCCGGGGCGGTGGGCAGGGGAACGGCCTGGTCACTAAGGACCCGGGCACAGATGGACGGACAGACGGATGGACAGACTGGGGGCTGCTCCTCGCCTCGCTCACCTCTACTTTCTGGCACGCCAAGCCCAGGTCAGTGCCGACGCGCTCCAGAAACCGGACAGCCGCATCTGGGAAGGAGCAGGGATGCCCGGAGTTACATCAGGATCTCCCTCCCATCTCACTGCAACCCCCTGGGGACCCCAAGGCTCTCCAGGGTTCCCAGGCCAAGGAAAGAGGTGACCAGAAGAAGGCAGGTGATGGAGGTCCTGAGCACAAGAGGTGGCCGGGAGTGGGGGCAGGAGCAGCTCATCACCATCCCTTTGGGGTGAAGACTAGGGGAACATGAAAAAATAAAAATTGAAGGGAACGAGTTCAGGGGGACAGTCCTCCGTAGGAATTCTGGGAGCTCCTCACCAATAAAAAAAAAATCTCAATGTACTTTATGGGGAGGATGGAAACATTAATGGAAGGAGATCTAAACAGGGTTATCACAAGCACCTGTCCCAGAGCCAGGGCAGCGTGGAAAGGGGGGGGCGCAGGGCACAGGGCTGGAGGAAGCAAATAGCAACTCTGGGTGCACTCGAGACGTCCCTGCCCCAACCAAAGGCACCGGCAGAGATAAGGCATAAAGGTGTCCGCTCCTTAACACCATGATCAAAACAGCCCCGGCCAAGGACTCGGGCACCCAGGTTCAAAGACCAGAGCTGCAAAGTAGAGGAGAAGGAGCCACGTTGCTGGATCCCTGCACAGCTCCCCGTCCCGCCCCCCCCATCCTCACCATAGTCAGGTTTGGGGTGGACAGTGTCAATCCTCAGGTAATCCCGGAAAAGCGTAACTGAGGGGTCCTCCGAGGCCCCCGTGCTCTTCCCGGGCTTCCCGGGTGCCATGTCAGGGACCGGGGCTGCAAAGCTCTGGAGGAAGAGCG